TGTGTTCCCCATCTCTCTGTATGAAGAGCCTGGCTTCCAGTCAGTGTTTCTGTTTGATGGCATGACTTGAATTAGCTGTACTGTTTTAAAAGGAGGATTACACGGTCACTAACACATTTGATGTGTGAACAATCTATTATTTATAGTACTGCTGCCACCCATATATGTAGTTATATTCTTGCAATTTACATAATAAAGATAAATACTGTCTTTGCACCGGATTAGTACAACTCGAAAGATGTTCAAACGTCTCAAAGTGCTTCAAACAAATTACTTTGGAGTGTGGGGACTATGTAGGCAAACACAGTATATTTCGTATATTTTACTGCTGGAAAACATGGCAGTTAATCTGTATCCCAATTTCCTACAAGTAGCAATGCAATGAATGACCAATTAAACTTTTTTTTGATAAGATTGAAAGACTAGTTCAAATTAATAAAACTGAAAGGAGGAATACTCTTTTGTTTCTGTTAATAACAACAAGATTGCATTTATAGAGCGTCTTTCACATTGGGAGGATGTCCCAAGGCGCTGGACAGTTGGGTCGGGACCCGAGCAGGGGGAAAATGGTCAGAGTGAGGGGAGGGAAGGGAGGGAGCGAGGAGGGGGTAGAGAGTCGAGAGGAGAGCTGGAGGCACGGCTGAAGAGAATAGCATTGGATTATGCAGCTCCAGAACAGATAAACAGAAGCTTATTTCATCTGAAGGATGTTAACTCTTCCCTTCATAGGTTGCAGATCATCCAGAACTCTGCAGGCCATGTCCTCTCCTGTACCAGGCTCTGTGACCCTATCACCCCCATCCTCAGCCGACTTCACTGGCTTCCCATCACAGAGAGGATGCAGTCCAAGATCCTGGTCCTCATCTTCAAAGCCTTCCATGGCCTTGCTCCCCCTTACCGCTGCAACCTCCTACCCCCTTACAACCTGCCCGCTCCCTCCGCTCAGTGGGCTCCGGCCTGCTTCACGACCCCCGCCTCGCCCACCCCACCATTGGCGGGGGGCCTTCAACCACTCTTCCACCACCCTCTGCAACTCCATGCCGCAGTTCCTCTGCCTCGCTCCCTCCCTTGCCTCCTTCAAGACCTGTCTCAAGACCCTCCTCTTCAACTGTGCCTTCGATCACCCTCCTTCCACCCTTGCCCTCCACCAGCCTCAATCCTGGCCTCGATCGGGTCTGAAACACTGATTGTCCAACGCCTTGGGACATCCTCTCGACATGAAAGGTGCTATACAAATGTAATTTTGTTGCTGTTGCTACCTCCAACAATAAAACATCCCTCAGCACTGCACTGGAGTGCAGCGAAACCCACAATCTTTTCAACTAAAATCAGAGTGTTGCCAGCTGAGCCATTTGAATAGATAATTTTCATTTAAAAGTTTGGTTTAACTTTAAAAGTAAGGCAGAATAATATCCCTGTGAAATCACATGATGATTGAAAACTGAAGTTGCTAGCATTTTATTTCTATCCCTCTTCAGATCATCCCAAGTCACAGACTAGTTACTATTTGAGGAAGCAAAGCATGTCACCTGTTCCTTTGTATCTGTCACCACTGTTCCTGAATTAGCAGCTGGGAGCTCATGTAACTGTAGCTCGGGATGATTCAGTAACCAACTTTCACTCCCACTTGAAATTATGAAACACAGGAATTCACAAAAGAATTTTGTATCTTGTAACAGATCAACATCACATTCCTTTTAAAATACGCTTTCAAAGCTCTCACTTCTCTCCCCCACCCAAACTATTACTTTTTTAAAAAAAAACAAAGGGAGAAGATGGACGATCAATTGTCACACAGGCCTCAGCCAATGCTGCTCTCAGTACAACGTAAAGTGAATCATTGGCTGAATTAATCCCTTTCATTGAAATAAGCACTTTAATTTTATTAACCAGAACTTTACTGATGGCACAGCAATGTGTAATCTGGTGCAACAGTTCAGCATTTTAGATAAAGGGGAGGGGGTTCAAAGCAACATAAAATGTCAGAAAATGTTGCTTTGATATAAGATTAGAGTAATTGAACATTGTATCCAGGTGGAAATAAACTCAGGATGTATAATAAAAAAGAAATTTGAACAATTTTACACAGCTCCTAAAACATTTTCTAAATTAGGACCAGAGATTATTGGACCAGTTGCAGGAAACTCCGGAACCCCTCCGTTTCACAACACAAAACAAAATGTTCATATTAGGGACTAAAAATCATTGCTCAACAAATAATCTCAGACCACTTCTACACTCAATTTGCTGAATTTTATGCAGCCAAATGTAGGAGAGAAAAAATGTATCTGTTAGATTAGCTTCGCTTGCAACCAAAGGATCCAAAATGGAATGTATATTGACACACAGACAGACATTTCATCTTTATCTATACTCATCTGGGAGGACTCCTGCCGTGCGTACGTACATACTTGCTCTCTGACGCACAATGCCACAGTTCCGCTTTGATTCGGTGGCCACCAGATGTAACTGCAGCAAAAAACTGAAATACATTTTAGGTCATAATTCATGAACAATAGGAGGTACCTGAAAACAAATATGTCCATGTCACTCGCAGATGCAAGACTGTTCCAATGAGGTATAAATCATGTCCCTACATCAATTGGTTAGTGAGATCCTTCTTGAAGTGCAGACAGACAGACAGACATTGTCGTTTTATTAGTAGTTATATATAAGAAAGAAGACAGATAGAAGAAAAAAGATAGAAGATAGCCTGGAGTGGATGTTAATCAGTAACACAAGGTAAGATCTTAAATTTTGATTTGTGAATAGAACGATGATTTAGCGGAGGCGAGGGCAGAGAGATAAGTTTTGATGTGGTCCAGCCAGATCTGCCGATGGACCATTAAATTAAAGTGCATTCGGTGGCACACATCTGTGCCTTGAGGGAGCAGAGGTGGCTGATGTACCAGGGTATGGTGAGGAATTGGCAGCATTGTTCACTAATGAGGTATGACTTTCACTAGCGTATTTTAATTTACTTGTAGACATAATAAAAATAAATGTACTTACAGATTGATTAATCTTGATGTTGTTCAGTATTCACCCTGTTGGAGCAAATCAGGAATTAGATCAGTGAGGATTCTGCAAGGCATTTATTCTTTATTAAAATATGAGTTTGTCTCAGTAATTGCTTTTCACCTCTTACATTCTTCACTGCGGAAACTAAAATTTACTATGTCATTAAAGCTGCAATAAAAATACCTCCAATCGCTTTCACACTATAAACTATAATCTTTGAATTCAGTCCATCCGTAACAGCTGATTGACTTCTGTAGAATAAGTCATTTATGTGTCCCCCCCACCCACCCTCATGCAGAATCTAACCCCCAGCTCCAGTGCAAACCCTTGATTGTCCAGCGCATTGGGATTTCCTCCTAATGTCAAAGATGCTATATAAATGCAATTTGTTATTTGTTTGTATAGGGGTCAACCTTTCCTCAATGATATTGGGGGAAAAGGGAGAAAAATCTACTTGGGCTCCGTGTTTAGCTCACTTGTCACGACTGGTTGTTTATTCAGCTGGGCCTGTTGGCTCAATAATTATCGATTGGATTAGTAAGGTATCTTACTTTTACAAATGCTGATTTTTACAGCAGCTAATGAAAATCAAAGCCATTCTTATTGTGTCTGCACATCTACAGCAATCAAGAATACTGTGCTAATGAATTTGCAATATTTTACACCCTTCAAGCATTTAACGAAGTGAAAATTTAACAGTTGCAGATTTACTCCTGCTCTGTCATTTTGATTGAGGTGAGAAGAAATCTGGCTTACCTCATGCTAAGAGGCCTGTGCCTCACTAAACTTTTCCTTTGCATGAAGTGCTGAAGTCTGCACAGGAGACCAAAAACACTTAAAAACAGCAAGTACATTATAATTATTATTCCCTTTTATAGACTACAGCGGTTTATATAGTACCTACATCTGGTGCTTCAACCAGAAAAAAAACACAGCAGTTTAAACTTTCTTTTGATTATCTTGAGCCTAATTCCTACTCTTAATGACAAGCCCAGAAACAGAGTTAAGAAACGCTATTTGATAATATTTAGCATTATGAATACAATTTATATTTAAATTAGCGCTTTTCACATCAGGAAGACATTCCAAAAGCGCATTCAGTGCTGAACGTGCACCCGAGTTGCGCATGGTGGCCTAGGGGAAGGTAGATGACTGAAAGTGTGTTAAGTTTTGAGACATGCCTTGGAAGAGGCGAGAGTCACATCCACGACCACTTTGTCAACATAGGATTTTGGAGAACAAAACAGATATAATTAATTTCAGCAAAACTAACCATCGTTGGTCTGTCGTGTGCATTACTAACTGAATAATAGGCTTTTGTAACAAATAAATATATGCATTTGATATGCACTTCATGTCAAAACACCTCATAGCGCTTCACACGCTGAGTTGAGTGCGGCTACTTGCTGTGGAAGCAAACATTACAGCCGAATTAGCATCCTAAAAACAGGAATTAAATGAATGACCAAAACATTGTGTTGATTTTCATAACCTTTGTCTGGATGATGGAGGAATATTAGTGAAGTCATCTGGAGAAGAGATCTTGAACGACCACCTGAACCGCCAGAACAGATGGAAGAAACCTTGGTTTAGTGTCTTATTAGGACTGAGATAGCACCTCCAGCAATGCAGTGCTCCCTCATTGCTGCCCTGGATTATCAGTGACGATTCTGAGCTTATACTACCATACCAAGGATTCCCGACTGAATAAAGTTTAAATGCCAGAATGTGTGTGATGCTTTCTTGTCGAACTTCAATCTCATAGCATTCAGTATCCAAGTGTCAGAAAATACTGGCTTATAAACAATATTTAAATGAACCATTAACACATATGGAAAAAAAAGTTCAGTACTATGGAAAGTACCCAAATTTCACAGAATCAGTATGTGACCAATAAGGTTTTATAAAATGATGGCAGATGAAGTGGTAATATATACAGGGTAAAATATGATAAAAATAGATACAGCACACAAAAGAGATACCATTTATTTCAAATTTTATTCCCTGGCTGGCAATTTCACTCGTCCTAAAAGATCGTCTCAAAAGATCTCACCTCCAAACTTTCAATTCCTGTCGCTTTGGGTTCTGTTTGTATCACTCATTTGTGTGATTAGGTGATTTCAGGCCGAGGAGCAGAAAAGAGGTGTAGATATTACAAACACATCAGGTACATATACTCCATTCTGTACATTTAGGGGCAACAGTAAGAATTTGGAGATGGTTCCTAAACAACAATGACAAACAAACTTTTAACTCTGTAATCAGCATTAAACTGAACCAAAATTGGGAAAATTTCAGCTTCTGAAATACATGGTCTCAAAAAAACATTTTTTCACATCAATGTCCTCAAAGCAAAACAACTTAAAATAAAATCAAGTTCAAAATGGAAGATTACTGGGGCAAGTACCAAAAACCTGAAGAGGAAGTGGATGCAACAGGAAGTAATTTTCATTCAAAGTTGCATTATCACATTTGAAAGCAAGTGTGATAATAATAATGTGAGCAAAGTGAGGTGGGTTGCTATAAGCAAAACTTGAACCTAATCTCATTGCACACACTGTGTATTGATTATAAGTGTAAATAAACACTCTGTATCAGTGTACTCCCTCCAAGTAGAATGGACACAGTGCTTTACAAACATTCTCCCTTAAATCTACACTGAACTCACTGTCACCTATAAATTGCCATCACATTCACTTTAATTAGGCAGATGTTTTGAGACTCTCTGCAACCCATCCTACACCCTAAAATAGACAGGTTTATACATTCCTGAGGTTTACATTAAACAGTTGTGTTTATGACTGAACAACATAACGGCTATATGATGAACTTTTTCATTTCATCAACCGTAACAATCAGTTGAATCCACTTTTAAAACTCGATGAGCAATGTTTATAGCATACAAAGGTAGTTACATTATCAAACATGCAAACATTTTCTTGCACTAATCGCAGTGTTAAGATACATAATCATTATAACATAAATAGAAAAAAAAATTCTCTCCCCTTCACAAACATCCCATGAGCTAAGACAGCAGTTAGTCTGACCCAGTACAGTCCTTTTCACAATTATTAGAAGATTGTGATGAAGCAGCTCGAATCTGAAATGTGCAATTGGGCTATTTCCACCTCTTTTTACTTGGATAACTTGGGCAAGTCCCATGCGGTTTCCTGTGCACATTTCCACATTGCACGCATTAGGCGGGTAAAGCCCATGTCTTTGGGTTTCTCCAGGCCACGCATCAACCGTTGCTTCATGATTGAAATAAACTCCTTGTTGCTTAGTTCTCCATTTCCTGTAAGAGAATTGCAGATCATCTTTAATAATACTATTTGAATAAATTGTGAAGCTGGCTTATTTATCCTGAGGTTGTGTGATGGGAACACAATGCTTTGCTTATCGATGACCAGAATTAACTTAAAATGATCCAAGAAACATTTAGTGTATGCAATTTCCAATATCATGTATAGGAGGTGTGATATGTAAGATGTGGTTTCACCAAGAAAGCAATTTGCACCAGTACAGACCAGTGAAAAGCCAGGATTCGTTGAGGTCACAACACTCTGAACTGGGTACTATTGTCAAATCAGTATCTCTAGTACAAAACAACATCAATGTCAGGATATTGCCAATTAGTGGACAGACCTTTATGCTTTTCAATTTACGAAAGGGTGAATAGACGAACTGAAGTTTGGACAGCTGACTTTAAGGGAATTGGGCTTGGTACGATTTTCAAATACTGTAATTCTCCATCTTGGAAATAGGACAGGGAGACAAGAGGATATTCTACCACTGAAGTCATTCATTGTAGAGCATTGAGACAGTCTATCACCAATAAAACTCATGTCAGTGTCAATGAATGACCATAGCACTGTGCCCAGACTGTTAATGTGCTCAAATCAATCATTTGGCAAGGTTGAAATTGCTAGACGTAAGGGGTTCAAACAGACAAATGTACTAAAATTCTGCAAAAATTAACAATTAAAACTCAGAGATCTTTTCATTCTTACAGTTTCCATGCAATTTACATGATATTCTTTGCTGTACAAATGAATTATCCTGGCCAACAATTCCCCAAATGAAAATTAATCTTTCACTTTATAGCGGTTTGTAGGACATTGCTCTGCATAAATTGGCTGCCATATTTCCTACAAAATACACAAGTCAATACGCTTTACAGTAAAAATCCTGTAAAGCGCTTTGAGATATTCTCCTGATTTGAAAGCCGCTATATCAAATACAAGTATTATCTATGCTAATAAAGACATAATGTCTGTGTACCTGTGTGTCTGCTAAGAACTCAATAACCAATTGACGTAGAGACATAATTTATACCTCATCTAAAAGGTCTTGTATGGGGGAGTGTCATGGGCTTATTTGTTTTCGGGGATCTCCTATTGTTAATAATAATAATCCTTGCATTTGATATTGCGCTTTTCACGTTGGGAGGACGTCCCAAGGCGCTTCACAGACACACTGTAAAGTGAATTGACTGTATGTTTGTGGGCGAACGCGGCAGCCAATTGCGCACAGCAATGTCCCACAAACAGTCGTAGATTGAAAATGACCAATTTATTTTTGTTTTTGGAGGGATTATTATTAGGCTCTGTGTGGAGTAAGGAAACTTGCCCAAGGTTTCGCCCTGCCTGGAATTGAACTCAGGTCTCTCGCTTGCAAAGCTAGTGCTCTAACCACTGAGCTACAGGACTCGTTGATAAGCTACGATCTAAACAAGCTCATCACACGTTTGGCAGTTACATGTACAATGCAGTTACACTTGGTGGCCGTATTGACTCCCACTGGCGCTGTGGCATGCAGCATGCATGCACTGAGACAAAGTGAAGCGGCAGGAACAAGACGGCGGTGGTGAGGTGGAAGTTGCCTCAAGCGGCGTTGAACGGCAGCTGTTTGGCTGCTATACCTTCTGCTCCTGCGCGGCCCAGGGTGGGTGGCGCCATGTTGGAGTTGGGCCAGTGGTGGATGATCGTTGGCTCGGTAAGGCCGTGGGGTTTCCGGATTCCGCGACTAGCCGGGGAAGGTGAAACCTGGGGCTCGATTTGGGACCTCACCCGGGGCTGGGGTTTAGCCTTCCCACTCTCCCTCCCCTTATTTATAGAATTCCATATAATAATCTAAGTATACTAATGAAAACTAAATGTCTGTCTGTGTGCCAATAACACAATAACCGATTGAAGTAGAGACATGATTGATATCTCATCGGAAAGGTCTTGCATGGGGGAGTGTCATGGGCATTTTTTTTGGGGTGGGGCGGGTCTCTTATAGTTACACGTATGGCAGTTTTGCTTAATGTGTACATACAGCGTTTATGGCGGGTAACAATGAAATCTACATTTCATATTGGATCCTTTGGTTGCAAGCGTAGCTGCAACGGGTACAGCTAGTTAATCACAATTTATTTACATTAAGACCTCTGCTCAAAGTTTACATTGACTTGTGAGCTTTTAGGGCTTCCTCATTGATACAAAAGAAAGAATGCTAAGGAAATCAGTTGCACAATTCTCAGCTGGCTCAGCTAAATGTTAAATAGGTTGCTGCTGAGATAATTTCCTTGACCGTCATCATTTTCAGACACTTAAATTCTGTCTTGCAAAATAAAATGACTTTACTATCTTTCACTATTAAGAGACTTGAATAATAATTCTGATAGCTAATGGTTTTGGTGCCAGCAGTTTCATTTAAATCAGGAACTTACAGTGATGGTTTTCATTAGATTACAAATTTTGATTACATAGAACAGGGCTTATTGTTCAACATTCCTTTCACTTGTCAAGTGAGTTAAGCAATACTGTAAATCAAGCACAAATAATCCCTTAATACTGCAATGCCTTTGTACTTAATGATGTTAATAGTCTCTTGAATCTCTACAGTTGATCAGGGTACATAACGATATTTAACACAACATGAAACTACACAGAGCTGTCGAGCTATTATTGCAGAATAAGGGCATTAGAGATTGTTAAAAGGTGTTCAAACCTGGGGTGTCAAGCACAGAGATCAAACTTTATAAAGACATCAGAATCTCAAGGCTATTCTACAGCTTTGCAACATGCTACCCCAAAGCTTTGACTATTTTATATTATATATGTATAAATAAATCTTTCACTTAGAAATTGTTGTTGTTTCTTCTACCTCCCCCGAGCTATTATACCTTTAAAAATAGCATCAGCAAAGAGAGGTGAACAAAACACTTTTTTTCAATTCACTACTGCAACAGCAAATCTCTTAAGACATTCATTACTAATTAACATTTGGAGCATGGAGTACAGAAATCAATTTGTGAGCCTTCCACAACTAGCTTGGTAGTTCCTGAAATGAAAACCATAAATTTAAAAAATTACCTTCGATCGAGAATGCAATAGTACTGAGAAGAACAGAGGGAGACCTGAGGATTTCTTGATTTTGATGGTAAAAACATTTGTATATATCATATATAAATTTATAATTTTAACAAGTAAAATTGCTAGCCGAATAGCTAGTACATTAAAACTTTTCATGATATGAACAGCAGTTGCATGAGTATAAAAATACATTGTTTTTAACATCCATGTTCTCTCTTCATCACTCCTCTCGCTGGTGTACGGTACAGCAGCGCCTTTTCCCTAATGTTGAGCTCCAATTTCAGCTCATCCAATGGAAGAGGAACTTACAAAGAGCTTGTGGTTACATGTGAACTCTACTATGCTATTTTCCAATTCAAAGCTTCGAATTCAAGCGCAGTCACCTCAGAGGCTTAAGAATATGCCACTTAAGTTTGCCTCTTGGAGGGGAAAAAGAGACAAAAGCAACTAAGGGCAAGGGAGGGGCAGAGTTTTTTTTATATATCAGAAATTAATTGAACTTTCTTACCATCACAATCAAACAAAGCGAAGACGACATCACAGACATGATCAGAAAGTTCTACTCGTGCCACTGTCTTGGCAACCTGCTTCATAGTTGCTGTAAAATAAACAGTTCAAATTCTTGACAAGTGTTATTTTCTTACTTTAGGCTCGTGAACAAGATTCCCTGTCTGTCCAACGCTGCACACATTGCTCCTTCCAACAGGAGATTCTGATAATCAATTTAATGACAGTATGAGTGAGCAGACTCAGACTTCAAACTAGAATTATACACATTCGATATAACTACTTCCAGCAATAGAGAGATTCAGAATGGGAAACTGCAGTTACTTTGTTTAATCTGAATCATTCTTATTCAAAGTGCAGCAGACTTGTATTGCTCCATGAACCAGCTCTGAATCATTTTTTAAATAGTTTTATTCTTCCCATTCTGTTTGCTCTACCATCAGTGGTCATACCTTCAGTCATTATGTTCCAGTCCTCTGAAACTTTCTTCCAAAACTATTTTGCCTTTCTACCTCTCTCACCTCTAAGAAAACACGTCTTTCAATCTCAGCTATAATCAACATTTTAAGTATCTTATTTCCTTTCTGAGTCCGACTATAATTTTTCAATGAACTGTACCTTTATCAATGGAGGCTCCTGCCATGTGGTAGAAACTTAAAGCTGTGTCCACATCATTGATGTTCTTCAGAAAAGTGAAAAAACTTTCCACATCACGAAAAGTGACACCCTGTAAAGAAATCAAACAGTTTCTGTAGAGGAACCACAGGGAAGAAAAGTTTGATTGAGGCATGTTAGACATAGTTATCCTGTTTGAATTAAACGTGTTCATATTTTTTTTTAAAGTTCCCTCCCATTAATGTTATTTATTTTTTTCCTGATTCTTGGATTCCCTTTTCCGCTGTGAGAAACACGTTTCTAGTTACGTTTTCCTACTTCTGTCTTTGGTAGACTCATCCTCTGAATTTCCTTTCTTAAGGACAAATGGAATAGCTGAGACTAAGAAATGATTATAAAAACTCAGTTACTTAAAAATGTCTGTTTCAAACCTAAATATCTTGCACACTACATTCACATGTCAGATTGAAGTCTCAGTTTGGAAGAATTGGTTAATAAATTAGGATGCAGGCAGATGGGTGCAAGAACGTATTAAATGTTGATTAAAATTGATTAAACTATAGGCCCTTTGAATTCATTTCAGGTTTAGAATAAAGCATGATTATCTGAACAGTGCCATAAACCTACAATTTATTGTCACAAATCTTAAAATCCCTTTCAATTTTGTATGAAATAAAATGTACATGTAAGCACAAAGAATAACTGCTGCTTCAATGAATAAAGTAGTTTGGTCTGCTATGTCCGAGATGACAGATTCACCAGAAGTAACTGAGCTTCAGAATAGTAAAAGCTCCTGAGGGAATCGCGAAGATTTGACATGTGATAGGAAGGTAGACAGTCCTTGTCTGATGATCCTTCACTATCCTGCGCATGTCCATCAATTGGTTTGACAAATAGAAAGTCATATTTTGTGTAAAAAACACTCCCCAAACTCAAAAGAAAACAATCCACTTATGGTTACAAAGTAGCAGAAATCTAAAGAATTATAAACTGATGTTTATAATTCTGTAAGCATTTTAATCTGTAAATTTTTATCACATCAAATCATTACATAAGAATTGGCAGAAGAAAAAAAGTTTTACTTAGAGGCTTGAAGGGGAATGGGGAGAGGATAAAGCAGTGGGGATTCACCTCGCACAGATGCTCTGAGAGATGGTGCAGACTCCATGGGTCGAATCACCCCTTCTGCGCTGTAAATTTCTAATTCTATGATACTAATGGGCTGAATGGCCTCTTCAAATGTTAGCACTTCAATTCAATGATTATTCAACACTCAAAAATACTACAGTATGTTCAGACAAAATCCCAAGTCCCCAAGTCTCTTATTCTTACCTCTGCATCTTTGAATTGTTTCTTGAGATTTTTCAGCATCACAGTGAGTTTCCTGGATTGGACACCACTGTACGCTAATAGCATACTGCCAAACTGACGCTCTGTGATTCGTCCATCCACTGGGTCATGCCGTTCAAACTGAGTGGGGGGGGGGGGGTAAGGGTGGAAGAGAAGAAAATGATCTGATCTACTTAAGTACGTTTCTCTATATTTACTCCTGTGTTTACAACTAAAGTAGTTTCATCTGTCTCTCCGCAAACAATCAGATCACTCCTTTCACATGTGCTTATTCTTTTTTCACTTTTGAAGTGTTTTTAACATTTCCCGTTCCTCCTTTCTTTATCAGCAACGAGACAGGGGAAAGGATGCAGCATTTCTAACTAATCTTCTTACATGTTCATCAATTTCCCATCATCCTTGAAGACTAGGGGAGGGATCCCAGATTTATCTCATCTTCATGCAGACACAATAATCATTTACCAATGTTATCAACAAATGTTATCAACAAATTTAACTAAAAACTTGAGACTATCTCAATGTTCTTGCACAGATCATTGATAAAACCACATTCAGAAACTCTGACATTTTAAAATTGAAATAGGTTCAGAGAACAGCATCAATAATGATTCTAGATATTAGGGGTCTAATTTGTTGGGGGGGCTGGGAATAGGGGGGCTTCAGAATACTATGAGATTTGGTTGATGGAAATATATCTTCACAAGACTACTAGATGTACATAATAGATATCCAAGTATTTAATATCAATGATTAATATTCATTTAGAATTTAATTGAAAGTGAAGACATCACTCAGAGAGGACACTTGGACAGGCTTTAAATGTTGAAGAGATGGGGTATACGAATGTAATGGAATATCACTTAATTAATTTCAGGCAGCTGGGTTTTATGAACCAAATGACTTTCCCACCCACTTCATGCTTATTCCTACTCTTGCATACACAAGGAAGAAAGGAATGGAAGGGTATGTGAGAGGGGATTAGGAGTGGAAGCACATGTGGAGTATACATGTCTACACTGAATGTCCCATTTCTGTGCTGTAACAGTTGATGTAATTCTATATCACCTTCTTCTCAGGAGTCAGGGGAAGGTAAAGCAGTTTATTGCCTCTGGCAATGGTGTTTCATTTCCCCCTCCATCTTACTGTAAGGCAGATGTGGACTAGCCCACATCTTAAACTACATGTCACTGCACTGCTATGTTTTTGAAGCAAACTCTCCATTGAAACCATCATTTAAATGTATTGAATATGAATCAAGTAAAAAATAATTTTGTACCACACCATTTATGACCAAAGCTAATGAAATGTAAATACATATTGCTACATTGCGAGCTTCCAAGCAGTTTGTAAAAGATTGCTCTGCTGCAAATCTTAGTGAATTGTTCAGAGCATGTTAAAATTTTGGGTTTACTTTATTTTACAAATTAGCAATACACCAAAACCAAAAATTAACATCCACCCTAAAATTATTTTATCCACCTGCTCTATACTCTTAGGAGCTAATTTCAAACATGGTATTGAGGACTAATATTTTAGAATAAACCTAATAGAAAGATTTTGTTTTACTAACTGGACAGAATTATTTAAAAACACTTGAGAATTTATTATATCAAAACATTATTATAATGAATGACGACAAATATTAATTTGCATATTCTATAGCCAGAGTGTCATCAGGAATAGATTTAATATGAACGTGTAATCAAATATAACACGATAGATGCCACAATTTATTTTCCAAGTTTCACAAACTTGTCTCTGTTCTATAATGAACCCCGACAACATAAAGTGATGGATTACACTTAGATTGACCGCTTTAGTTGTCAGAGCATTTCATCACCGTCTCTCTTGTGCCACACACCAGAATAAGCTTATATAATCAGGTTGAGGATGTCCTTGAAAGTAATTTAAAACCAAGGCTATTGAACTGGACCAAAATATAGCCCTGAAGGATCTGATGGATAGAGACATTGAATTTTGCTGTAAAAGCTAGTAAGAAATGTATATCAGGAGGAACTCGCATGGGTTAGAGATGGATAGATCTGGTCTATTAGTCTATTAACTGCTGTGTGCAATTGGTGTCATGTTTACCCACAAAATCCACTTTACAATATATTCTGTGAAGCGCTTTGAGACGTCTCAACAACATGATGAGGCACCATATCAAATCAAGTGAAATTACTTTACAACCCTCCCATATACATACTGCAATAGATCTGGAAGTATGACAAGCTTCATTCAGAAAGGGTGGTGGAAGAAGAAGTTATTTGAAGATATTCTTGTCTATAAAATGTTAGAACTAAGAAGGGGAAAACATTTTGGAACATAAAGGTAAGTAATTATAATCCTCTTAAGTTTTGTGATTAAATTATCGGGAGTAAACTTGTAGGATTTAGAACCATTCACTGGGGCAAAATATCTCTAGCAACAATGAGCACTGAGGCAGAACATAGTGGTTGCAAAATCATCTTACGCATTTTTTTTCAAATCCAGTTCTGGTGGCCAGAACTTAAAATGTAAATATTTAATTTTAATCAGGACAGGGGCAACCAATCTGAAAATCAAAGATGTGTGAGAAACTGCAGTATTCTTTGGAAGTAGGAAAAGTATTTTCCCCACAAAATGGTTGTTTAGTGTTACAACACGAACTGATCAGAAATTCTGCACAGCAACAGTAATCACACTGAATAATTAAACACCCTGAAAGGTATCTCCATCTATCCAGGTATAAAGATCTTAAGTGGGATTTTTTAAAAAAAACTTATATAGTTACAAGCAGTCAGTTTTATTGCACAGATAAACACTAGGCTGGCCATTAATAGTATTGCCATGAGGTTCTTGTATGATAGTCCCTCATATTATTAGAATAAAATTCAAAGCTAGCATAATAGAATTCTTCACTCATAATTCTTTTAGATAAATGACTTATATTTTCCAAGGTGGCATCAATAGCAGCAACAGAAATCACAGGGAAACTAAATGCACATAACAATTTATAAATCACCAAGGAAATCAAGGCACTTAAATTCAGTATCAGCAAAAATCCAATTTTCACACATCAAAGACAGGCGATTTGTTTTCTGCCCTCTTCACCATTCAGGAAACTCTTCTAGCATATTGCAAAAATGTTTACCTTAGTCCAACAGACCAGATCTGGCACATGAAGAACATTTCCAGTTCATCCCTTGGGCTAATAGTTAATTTATAAGAGCAAATTCAGCTTCACTCAGTTTTTAGCACCCTTGCCTTGGGTTCAGAAGGCTATGGGTTTAAAGCCCACTTTGGGATGACATTCAAATGTAGCGCTGGTAAGACAGCTGCATTGTCAAAGCTATTGTCCTTCAAGAAAAGACAAACCAAGGTCCTGTCTGCTTGGTCAGGTGATTGTTATTATTCCATGCCATTCATCAAAAAGAGAAAGGAATTTCTTCTAGTACTCTTGGCCAACAACCCCAAATAAAATTGGTCATTCACTTCATAGCTGTTCATGGGGGGAAAAAAATGATTACTGGTGCATGCCTTCACTTTTGATCTATGAAATAATTTTAATCCTACAAAGATAAAGCATAGCATTTTTAAAATCTAAACACAGTTAAGAGTGGAAGGCTGTCAGACTGGTAAGGGCCAGTATTTATGGCCTTTATTTCTCTCTTCTTTTCCTATTCATGAAGCAATTACACACTATAAAATAGAAAATTAATTTGTGGAACTCCTATCAAAAATTGCTCTGTGGTATAAATGGAACTTCATAATGGAATATTTAGTCCCAAAACTCATCCAATTGGCTCTGCAATCTTAAGGCATTTTCAAAATGAATCTCATCTTTTAAACTACTGACTTAGTGAAAAACACCACTGGTTTGCAATCTGCTGTTTCTGTTGCAAACCAAATAATATTGATTTGCTGTTATGACCACCAGCACACAAACAAATACATTTTTTATTGCAATACAGTATTAACAAAATCAAATAAAAATATATTCACTGCTTACACTGAATCATTCCAATATCAATGTTCAACAGTACATTTTTCCTTCTGGGGTAGCTCACTAGAGTTGAGCTGCAGGAATAATTTCAATATAATCTGAGGTGCAGATGTCGTGCAAGGGTATTTTTGTCCACAACATTATGCGGACACTCTGTTGAAAAACATTTACAAACATCCTGCCAGTGATTCCCATTGATCAGAATCCTATTTTAAAAATCCAGTCAGCATTAATGGCCTTAACTTTATTTTGATTCCCGGTTTGGCAATGAATCTTGCCACCACAACTTCCACAAGGCCCACCACTTTCACTCTGACTTCTCATTCTTATCTGGCTTATCCACCTGTAAGCAGCAACTCTAAAGAGGTGAATGAAATATACCATATGTGTACCAATATCTGAACCAGGAGTCTGAAAAAACACAGCTCTCACCTCCAGTTTCAGGACATCTTGCTGTAACTTAAGCTGAAACTCTAGGAAGTGTTTGATAGTTAGTTTTCCTTTCAGATCTGCACCAAAGAAATAGGTGGTGAGTGCCGAGCTAAATCCAGATTTCAGCGTGTTCCCTGTCGTGGAGCGGTCTCGGTGACGCATGCCCATGCTGGTTTGTGATCGAATAATACTCTGAACCTGTAAACAAAATCAGAAAGTCAAGGTTAATACCAAGATGGAAATATTCACAAAAAGCACCACATGTCAAGTACCACACCATGCTGGGATGTAGGTGTAAACCAAATACACTGAAATTATAATTTCAGCTACGCTGCAAAGAACGCAAGCCAGGCACTTTCCTGTTACAAAAAACGGGAAGAAAACTAGGCATAAACTGGCAACTGGCTACCCACTCAATAGGGGACAGGGAACACGTGGTCTAAATTGGTATTCAGGTATGAATCTCATAACAGGCTAACTTTTCCCCCTTTTGCCCAAGTAAATTCTATGTGGGAATCTGTTTTGAAAAGAAATACTATGATGCCTAGATTCCAATTGCTGATGCAACAGTACAGTAAAATTCTAGTAAAGACAGCAATTTATCTACAACTGGAAAGGTTAGAAGCACATCACTACATGGTCTGTATTAGTAAAAATAAGGGCAGTGCTAAATCTATTATTGCAGTTGGTTCAGATAAAGTAGGCCCTTCAATCTATTTCATCTAATCCTTCTAAAATACCAACTCCACCATCTTCCTATTACACATCAAGCTGTTTTTCAAATGAGTCCACTGTCTTGACCGCAACCACCTTTTCTGGTAACTTGTTCTAATTATTAATTACCCTCTGGATAAAGAAACACTTCTTGGTGTCTGTGCTAAAATTGCCCTTTGCAAACCTAATTCTGTGTCCTCTTTTTCTGCTGCTCAGATGAACTCACACAAACTAATTCTAATTCTTACCTGTTCAAACTCCTCCAGATCAACCTCACCATCGCCATTCAGGTCAAACATCTTAAAGGCAATTTCAAAGTTCCTGTGTGGAGCTAAGAGATATAATAATCATAATGAATTCTAGTCATTTGTCTACTAAATAGCCCCATTAGCCCTTGTAGTATGTGCATTGTTTATAGATCAATTCCGAGGAAGTCATAAAACCCGAGTTGAAAGGACAACCATCAGTGCAACATGTGTCATTTTAAAAATGTTCTGCTGTGTTTATCAAAAAAACTGAATTAAGAAGTTCTAGAAGATCTCAACTTCACTGAAAGAGCATCACATATACAAAATAAAAACAAAAAGATCAACTTATCTCAACACCAGCAATAATGTAGAAGGTGAAAATTTACCCAATCAACATGCAGTTTTCCAACAACATGAGCTCTTGGCTCACTGAATGCCTTTTGGGATCTCAGTTATTTTCAGTATATGGAAACTCAGTAACTAATTGTGGCTAAGTAAGGAAGCAAGAACTTAGATAAACAAAAATGTTTTGAACTTTTTATTGGGGGGAGGGAAATATGGAATTTGTTGAGATTTTTGCAAAAGAAAAAAATGGGACTACATATACTAAATGGGAAAGATATATGAATCAGCTCTTTTTTGCAGAAAACATATCAATGATAAGAACCCGAAATGACTCCAGGAGAATAGAATACACAATGATGTGTGAAAAAAAACACTGGTAGAAAATGTTTGCTGGCTCAATGTCAAGATTCAATCAGCAAGCTCTCGATGTTCATAGACAAATGTCTCAAGAAACAGGAATATACCAAATTTCACATTAAGATTTGAGCAGTTAAGTTCCATTATAACAGTACAACAACATATTTTATTCCTTGAAAATAGTGAAAAAAAACCTTCACATATCAGTCTGGGCTAAATTATAACTAACAGACAGTTCAAACCTACCGTATCAATGTACTTAAATTTGATCTACAAATGACTCAAATTTGAAGAAAAATATTTGTTAAAATATTAAAGCACCAAAATCTTGTAAACAAAGATGTTCAAGTTGCTAATAATTGACAATATTTAATTTTGGGGAAATTTTTTTTCCCTCTTTTTGAGTATACAGATTTGATTGCCTGAAGTTATACTACACTACTCAACTAAACATGGGCGATTCTTGAAAAGGCAAACAAGCAATGTACTGTTGCTTGTTTGCCTTTTCAAGAATCACCCATGTTGTATTGTTAGAATCTATATTGTATAGTTAGAAAAACTCATGGTCAAAATAATGGTGGAAAGACAATTACTTTTATTCGTTTATAAGTTTGCATGAATGCTTGCAACAGTAGATTCATTTTTAAGAATGCATTTCTTGGCTATTTGCAAACAGACTGTCCCCAAAAAGTAATTTGATGCATAAAGATACTTACTAGATAGAACAGTAGTTAGAAATATATAATCAGAGAATGAAATCAGTCCACATTCACCCAGTGTGTAAAATATGCTGCCTTCATCTGCAAACTTCTCTCGTTCTTGGGAAAGTTTCTGCCAAAGAAAACAGAGAAACCAGTCAGAATGATGACACCTGCAGGGTGACCCTTTAGGTGTCAAATACAGACCTAGTAAACTGGAGGGGATGCAGAGTACAAGGCAAGAATTTGAAGTTAAGTAGGTTACACGTTAAAAATATGCCATTAAAAAAGGCAGGATAATATACAAGCTAAGGTAGGGAGGCAAACACCATGCAAAAGCTGCAGTAGCATATAAGAGAAAGGCAGCATTGTTTCAACAGGAAAGACTGATAGATAGATTTACATTTATGCACAAAAAATGTCATGCCAAAGTCCTACTTATCACTGCTACAGGGACATCGGTTACCTCTGTCTATCAGGAATCCATAACATCCGAGGGAGAAAAAGAAAACCTCATTAAACAACAGCCACCAAAGTACACTTCAGTTACACAGATATTTTATCGTCCTTTGTATTTTTAACCTTGCAAAACACTACAATTTTATTTCAAACCCATTTGTACATTGAAAATGAAGAAGCCTGCCTCTGAAAAACAATTGGGATAGTACAACTGAGCAAAACATGCTGTGTCAGAATGCAGATAAACAATCCATGATTTTCTACACTGAGCTCCTGGTCAATTATTTGGTTATATGAACAAACACTAGACATGTCTCCTGAGAACAGTTTTTTAAAAAAAACACACCAAAAGCATCCTAGACCTAACCTGCGCAGCATCAAGAACGGCTAACTATGGAGCAATGGTCTGAGGACCAATCTCTAACCCAGCCTCTAGATCAGAGAAACCTTAAACAGGAAATGAAATTGCTCGTAACATAGCTTCTGATATTGTTTTAAAGATGGTCAATGTTTTGTGATGGATGACAAATGCATTGCTTGCATATTCACCCCCACTGACCTCCGCTCCCATCACTTTTGGCTCTGAAACTGGTAGAAAGCCTGGGTAATAATTTTCAATCAGTCTGGCCTTCATCATTGGTAGAAAACCAGGGAAAACAGTGCAGGTCAATAGTATGAGTAATAATATTTATGTCCCTCTGAAAGAAAAATGACTGTTCATTAGTTCTCTCCCCACCCACAGTCCATGGGACAGGCTTCTTCATCAGTCATTTATGCTACGTACGGCCTCACAATTCGAAACAGATTTTCCACGGTTGACATGCCTACAATCACATACGGTCTGCAAAAGTAGGTACGCACACTAAACTTTACTGCCTGCAGGGAGAAATTATCTTCACATAATGAAAGGGCTAAATTTAAATCTTGTCGGTAGTACACTCAAATGTAAATACAATGTCACCATATAGCAACAATGTAAGAACACTGTATTACTAGGCTTGTTGCAGAATGAATGTGTTGTACTGAAGGGTATGATGGCACTCCAACAAGCAAGGGATTGCACCATGGGGGATTCATACTGCAAATACAAGCCAATCTCAAAGTGATTTACAAATTCCAGTTTGGCAATAACTGAATCAATCTACTAAAGCTGCACAATTAGAAAAAAACACTTCTCAACTACTAAAGCAACTAATTATATGTTTAAATGAATAGTCAATGAACCGTAACAATCAATAGATTTTTAAAAGCAATTTTAAATATTGCATCAGCATCAGAGCAGAAGTAAATGATCCAGGAGCAAGTAATTAAACTATATAGACTTGAATAAATTATTCTGTCTACTATTTTCCTTTCTTCAAACACCAATGTAAATCAGTCAAGATGAATTTGATAGCATTTTCCTTTTGAATTTATGGGGCTTATTGCCAATGCAATACGTTCACTGGTGTATTGAGCATTGTAAAATATGTAGTTGACAATGGTTTATATTCTATACGGGTTAAGTCCCCGACCCATGAAAAGAACTTGAGGGGCTGTGCATCCACAATTAATCCAGTGAGATCTGAAATTGTTAAATTTCAATCAACACTGAACCATAGCTCAAGTAGATGCTGTCCCCTCTGATTCCACCTGTGTTTTCTCAATAGAACTCTTGCTCAGTTTGAATTGCCTTATTAAAACTGAAAATGAATTCCACAAGACCAACTTGCTACAGGTATATCAAATGAATATATATAACAAATGAAAGATGCTCAAGAAAGCAATGAATAATGTTGTTTCTCATTATATGTCTTGTTGGGCTATGCAATATACACTTCTATTTTGTACCGTAGTCATTTCTTCGCAAACCTAATTGTAAAAAATATTTTGCTTAAGACAGGAATTCAAAATATCTTTTTAAAAAACACCATTGCATATCCCATGTAGGTGTGTGTTTCCCCATTTGTATGGTACAATGGGAGAAAAGATGAGCACAGAGCAAAGCCTACCTTGTTTCAAAAATTATCAATTTTCTCTTTCACCCAAGACATAATGGCATAAAATCTGTAGTCAATAAATACTCCAAAGCTAATAAGACAATCACTTCATTTATACACAAGTTAAAAATGTAGGAGGATATAAATGATCTCACTTATATAAATTGTTACATGAGAAAATAAATTTGACAATAGTTTCTTTCATGCATATTTGAGCAATTATGGTACAGAATATGAAAAACATGAAAGTGTAGTGCATACTTTAATTAAATTATCAGTAGCTTATAACCTGTTACGATGTACTCTCTACATCATGTGATCTTTCTCACATTTAAATGTGGGTCATTTTTGCCTGTTACTGTGGATTATTTCAATGCTATTCCTGGTTTGGATTGTGATCATCATTGACAGAAAAGTTCAGGCTAGTGTCAGCTAAAACTATGAGTCAAAGATGGAATTCTAAGAGTTTCTAACAAATGACTCAGTCCAGATAAACAATTTGAGCTGAGGTAGGAGGAAATGATAATTCTAACAAAATAAGACAAATAGAGATACTAGATAAAAACAAGTAGAAATTCTTGTAGCATGTGAAGCTTCTGACATGCCTGACACAAAATCAAAACCAGTAACAACAAAAACTGGAATATTTCAGATTAATAGCAAAGATATTGCAGGTTGCTTTCACGGAAGTGGTTCAAATCTCATATTTCAAAACTCTCCTAAATGGACAGCAGCATATTTTTGGGGAGAGACGCATGCTTGCCCGCATTGAAAAATGTTATTACCTCAAAGGTAGGAAATGTTGGCATTGCACAAGGTTGCCAATTTGTGCAAGACTGTCAGTAACATTTTTATGGTACTGCCAAACACAGCATTTCCATTGTTGTTGACATTAGTGCTGAACCAGAAATCTCTTACACAATTAGTTCCTGAAGAAATCAGTCAGGTGATTTGAACACATCTCCTACACTCAGATTCAATGTTAGCAGACTGCAAATTGAAAGCAGTTCCAACCAGATAAAATGATTAAAGGGAGCTTTGTATGTGAGTTTACACCACAAGGTCAAACAGATGAAAATATGATATTCTATATATGTATATATGCATAGACATATATACATAATTCCCCACATGACCTGAATTTTAGAGAGAGACATTACTGGTTACTGGATTAGAAAACAGTAACTCAAATTGAAGTTAATTTGACATAATTCAGCAGTTTCTCAACTGCGCACTTGGATTCATTTAGTGCCTGAAATAACACAGAAAGCACGGAACAAGAAAAAACATTAATGCCCAGCCATGAGCAATCCATCTGATCAAAGCTTCCATCCCACTAATTTAATCTCCTGAAGGAAATTTCTCGATAAATGTTCTTTATTCTCAAAGTAGTGATACACAAATGCAGAATAGTTGTCCATCCGCACATCTTACCTACGACTCAAATTTGGCGTGAATCCCCTCCCCCTCCATCTCCAGCACATATCTCCTCTCACCATCCCCAGAACCAAAGGAAACGTTTTACTTTATGTAACTGATACTCATAATATTTAATCCCAGTCAACAGATATACTGTGAAGGAGTTAAATAACAGAGCATTAACCTTTTGCTAGGAATTTATTTCAGATTTGCACTACTGAGTGTGTGAGAATCTTCCAAATCTCGATTGAGATTTGTTACTCATTAATTTTAAGATCATTTGCTCTTAATTGCAATCAGCCTTCTACGCAACTTTACTTTTATAGCGCATCAACAAACATATTGTTCAAAGTGGCAGAAACAATGTCCAAAGAATTATTTGCATCTATTAACCTAAACAGGAAAATTAAAATAACTTGGATTCAACTGATCAGTCTTTCCTGGCATTCAGGCACGAGCAACAGAGCATGCTGGGACAGTCCAGTCAGGGAAATGTGGTAAAGGCTGTAGTGCATACTGGTTAATGCACATGCTCACAAGCCTCATACCTGCCAGAAATCCTGCTCATTATGGTTCAGAATGTGGTGAGAAGGGGAAAAAATGGGTGTTTGGTTACATCACAAAATAGATTATGTTATGTTAAATGATTACAAGAAACACAGACAGTACATACAGTTAATAGCTGCGTCACCAGGAAGCCAACAGCAGCAGGTTAGACCTGCAAACTCCAGTACTGTTAAGCTGTTAGTGATATTGCACTTTGGCAAAGCAAACACACAAGAGACTCACATAACGTTATACTGGTAAAAGGTGTGACAATATAGTTAACATACATACCAGTATTAAAGTAAAGACTACATAATCACAGTTCCAAAATGCTAGTGGGGAAAAAAGCATTGCAAAACATATTGTGGCATGCATTACTTTTGCAATTTTAATTGTCAGCCAGTGCCTGAAATGCACAGAAATCCCTTCCCATGGTGAAAATCTCTTTCCCAGGTTGCTAAGAACTCACAAAAGCAGTGATTGCCAGTTTGATCTCTCGTGGGGACGGCTTGTGGTGTGGGGGAAGAGGAGAGAGAAAAAACCATCTTACATGTTAGCATGTTAGGGATTTACCTGTATGGTAATCAGAAACAGAGTGGGAAGAATCCCATTATAAATTTACCCCTAAAGTCCCATTGGTGAGCCAGAATAATGAATAATTAATGCTACCTTCCAGTACAGTGAACTTGGATGTTCGGAAGTTATGCTTCAGGAAAACAATATAGCACAATTTGATATAGCACCTCATAACATCGTTGAAACGTCTCAGAGGGATTCACAGGATTTTACTGTGAACTGTAATGACTGTATTGGCAGGAGAATGCGGCAACCAATTCACATACAACAATATCTCACGAACACCCATTAAGTGAATTGCAATCTGTTTCGGGAGGATTGTTGGCTAGGGCACAAGGAAAAACTGTCTTCGCATTTGAATAGTGTCACGAGATCTTTAAAATCTACCTGAACAGGCAAATAGGACCTTGGTATATCAACTCATCCAAAGGTCAGCACTCTCCTAGTTCTCCATTGGAGTATCAACCAAAACTATGAGCTCGAAGTCCCGACATGGGGTTTGAACCCACAACCTTCTGACTCAGATGTGAAAATACTACCAACTGATCCAGATTGTCACCTGGCAAAGAAAATTAACATCTAGAAAACTATAGTAAACTCCCGTAGTTTTCTAGAGATTAATTTAAGTTAAACCAATTTGACTTGTCACTACCACTTAAGTTACCATGCTGTCAGTATACTGGCCGCTTCCCATGCAAAATGTTAATAAGAGACTCTTCGCAACAAGTAATTAGTTGCATTATAGAAATTCTTGTATGTATGTACAATCCAAAATTAATTGGATAATTTGTCCTATAAGATGCAGTTTTGCATCTCAGAGGCTTCCTGCCTTATCCTGTGACTGTTGTGGGTGATGGGCAGAGGTTGGAAGTGCATGCTCTGATGCATCGCAGAGACCTCTGGCCGTTTGGAGGGTTACTCTGTGGCTTCACGTCCTATCCTGTGAGCACACGTGCCCAACCTCCACCGCGCTCCTGCACCAGTCACAGTGCCCCTTTGTGGCCTGGGAGCACTCATGCCTAACTCATCATTCCAGATAATTTGCCACTTTTCTCTTGAAATGATGAGTTCTGCGGTGTATATATGTAGTGAAATTACAGTTATAGTCCAATTTGTTCCTATAGTTCACTATGAAATGTCTAACAGACTAAAGCTAGCCCAAAACACTCCTCGAGCAAAATCAATAGCCATAGGGAGACTGCAGTGCACCTGTAAATAGCAACTGAATGAGATTACAGTCTGGTTTGCTATCCATTGTAAAATATTCAGAATAGTACCCAAGACAATGTTCCAAAAGTACTCCCTCTACTTGTAATGCAAAGTCACACAGCAAAATGTTCCGGGTGTAACAGCTAAAACACAGTATTAAAGGGCAATACAAAATTGCTTTACAGCAAGTTTTGGTTTAAATCCCTACAAGTCAATCAATAATTAAAAGTGCATAGCATATACTTAGGGTATTTCATCTTTTAAAAATCCATTGCTTTACTTTATTTTTTAGTCTGCTTTTATTCTCATTCTGCATTTTATTCATACATTTAAATTTGTTATTTGGCTGCTTACGTTACAACAGTGAAACTCTGGGATAAGCCATTTACCTCACATAACTCCTCACACACTTAATATACCGGCTATTTCCCATAAGACATGTTCATTATGATCCTCTGATATCTAGTCAACCTTGATGTCTCATAACCCATGGACCTTTAAGATAGTGTTTCAGAAGACAATACAAGTTGTCATTTGAACTGTTTTCCTTGCAACTAATTTTTGCTCCTGAAACAGAAAATCACCAGTATTGGGAATTGTAATACTTCCCCGAGCCAGAATTATCACTTACTGCTCGGTTAGGTATTATGTAGTCCCCATGCAGTGAAGCTCAGTTTATTTGGACAATAATGCATGTAAACTAAAACTTCAAGTGATACTTACTACTTGGCTACTGTAATTTTTTTTAATTTGCACCATCAACACCCAGTCCCATTTCTCATTATTTTTCTTTTTTGTATTGTTGGGCAAATCTATTGCATTTCCAGCTCAAGGTTGTTTATTCATACTGAGTGCTAGTTATGTCTTTGATGTGGGATTCTCAAACAACAGATCAATGATTAAGATGTCTTTGTTGGAAAATAAGACAGAATTGTTCAATGAGAAATTCTTAATTCAATCTATATTATAGAGAGAACGAAGACAGTACTTTATAAAATTGCTCAGCACGCATTTGGTCCTAAGCAGAATAATGTAATAAAAGTCAATGTGGTCAGAAACACATCTACTTTCCCTTCAAGACTTGGTTAATTGTCTAATGTACAAGACAGTACACAGTGTTACCTTTCCATCATATCGCTTCACTTGGAACTGGTCCAGCCCCCGATCTGAAAACAAATGATAGTGAATTACTATGAAATGTCAAAATACAATTGTTTCCTTCAATTATATGATGATTTATTTATTCAAGTGCTTGGCTAATGCTATATTACTGACTGCCTTACAAAAGTTTAAATTGATAAATGAGCTTTAATATGCTCCACTGTTAATTTTATTTCAAGTACATGAAAAGGGTAAATCATTCATAACAATAACTAATTTGACATATTTACAAGGTTTTTTACTTTCACAATACAAGAAAAGGTTAACAATGGTAATTTATCTTTTTCAATATAAAAAGCAATTTACTGATTCAAATTTGACGATAATAATAATAATCCTTGCATTTGAAAGAGCGCTTGTCACGTCTTCTAGACGTCTCAAAGAGCTTCACAGAATATACTGTAAAGTGAATTGACTGCATATTTGTGGGCGAAACGCAGCAGCCAATTGCGCACAGCAGTGTCCCACAAACAGATTTAAATTGTTTCGGAAGTGACGAGGCAGAGGAATTCCCCTAAGAAAAACCAAGCCACAAAACCCCTGTAGCTTACTTTTATATCTATCACTTTGTGAAAATAAATCACTAACAAATATAGTTTTGTTAAAAAATTTAAAATGCATGTAAATGTAAAGAATGAATTTGTAACAAATAATCAAATTCGATAATACATTAAAATGGACAATGCAAAACAGAACATCCTTTAATAAGATGTTTTACAAAGTGTATGGGAGTTTTAATTAGAGGATATACAATTTGTGAGTTATCAAAAGAATTGAACACGAATAGCTTACTGAGAACCCTAAATGATTAGTTGTAAAGAGTGAATGTTTATGTAACCTTGGTGAAGATATACACCTATACAACACCAGCCAATTGATGTGTCAGTAAACCCTAAAACGCCCATTTCCTACCAAAATCATGTCATTGCCACATTTTCTGTAAAGCTATTCATCGTGCCAATAACAAAAGACCAATATTCAGGGAACACTAAAACCAAAGTAGAATCTCAATTTTATCTAATAGACAAAGATGGAGCAAAGGGAGGAACAGTGGAAAAAATTGCTGCTCCAATTCATGGAAAGCAAAATTATACATTTATGAATGTGGTTTGAAACCTTGACATTCCATTGAGGTTGATAAACTCTCAAGTTCTAGAGATGCAAATTATCAAATGATTTAGTTGAAACCCAATCACAGAGGAAAGAGTGTCAAGATACCACCATAATCAATGATAGGAACTATCTGCTGACCAAATCTCAATCAATTGCAGAGGTGTATGGAAATGTTGACGGGAGAATACAAGACAGAATAATCATCATAATAATAATCCTTGCAATTGATACAGATCTTTTCATGTTGAGAGGTGTTTCAAAGCGCTTCACATGATTTACTGTCAAGTGTGGTGACTGTCTATTTTGTTGGTCAAAATTAAATGAAAAATAGTGTATTTTTCAGAGTTTGAAGAAATTAAAGGAATCTGAGTAGCGGAAATTTATTAAAGTACTTCCCAAAGATATTTCCAATCCTCTTTCTTTTTGTTCACCTGAACCAATTATTCTATTATCAATTAGGACAGTGTACATACCATCGTTTTTTTGGTTAAACCACACACAAAAGTTGCTTGATCAGTGCAGCAATTTACATTTCTAATTCCTTCGTCCGATCCAATGGCCCGGTTGCCCTTCATGAAAGATGCCTTCTAGGTTTAGGCTGAGAGGTATCATTGAATTTAGGTCTTGTTCAGGAAACCACTTCTCTGAGATTCAAACTACTGCCCTAGTGCGTTGAGCATTGTGGAACAATTTATAGCTTTATCTCCAAATGGCAGAACATTAATCAAACTAAAATTCTCCACTTACTCTCCGGCTGTTTTTCATTTGGAGTTATTGATCGAACAAAATCCTGTGGCGTCATAAACACTTCTGAATCCCCATTTTCATTGATAATCTTCAGTGTTGCAAAATACCGGAAAATTTTGTCTGGAGTGGAGTAAGCTCTGATTCTATTCTCGTATTCCATTACCTAAACAAAGAAAACACAGAGTACAAAAAAAATTCAGTTAATTAGCTGGAACTCTGTAAGAGATTCAAGTGCAGAATTAACCCTGATATCCATGAATGTTAAATATGCATTAGACTATATGAAATTGCATCTGTGCACATTTGTGGAGTCCTGTAGCTCAGTGGTTAGAGCACTCGCTTTGCAAGTGAGAGACCTGAGTTCAATTCCAGGCAGGGCGAAACCTTGGGCAAGTTTCCTTACTCCACACGCCTAATAATAATCCCTCCAAAACCCAAAACAATAATAAATTGGTCATTTTCAATCTACGACTGTTTGTGGGACATTGCTGTGCGCAATTGGCTGCCGCGTTCGCCCACAAATATACAGTCAATTCACTTTACAGTATATTCTGTGAAGCGCTTTGGGACGTCCTCCCGACGTGAAAAGCGCTATATCAAATGCAAGGAATATTATTATTATTATTATTGTCATCAAAAACATCTGTACATCCAACCACTGGGTTCAAATAAGATATCTGACCAAGTTTCAGTCATCTATGGCTGATCACGGTTTTAAATCCACAAATTACATTAAAAAAGGGCTGTTCATGGTAATTATTAAAATGTAATTTTGTTGTTGTTGTGGTTAATTTCTACATTGTGCTCAGCAAGAACACATTAATCCTTGATGATATATTGTGGTTAGTACGGTTAACATATTTCCATTCCAATTTTACTATCTCTTAGAACTGCAACTTTGTTACAGTTGAATAAATGTTAGATCCTGAATGAAACAACAAACCCAAGACAATAATGAGACTATAGTAATCTATCAAAGATGTTACTGATCAGTATTGTTACTGATCAGTCATGTCAGCGCCTCTGCACCTCAGGCTCTGCAGCATCAATCTCCATGGTTGCACACTGCAACTCACCAGCCAGTTAGGAACCCAGATGTCTTTTTCGACCCTCAATTGTCTTTTCTTCCCCACATCCAAGCCATGACCCGCTCTACCTTCCCTCACCTCTGTAACATCGCCCGACTCCGCCATTACCTCACCTCTCTGGCCGCTGAAACTCTTGTTCATGCCTTCATCACCTCCAGGCTCGACTATGCAAATGCTCTGCTTATCGGCCTTCCCAACTCCTCCCTCCACAGGCTGCAGATAATCCAGAACTCTGCAGCCAGTGTCCTCTCCCGCACCAAACTTCGTGACCCCATCTCCCCCATTCTCGCTTGACGCCATTGGCTCCCTATCCTTCAGAGGATCCAGTTCAAGATCCTGGTTCTCACGTACAAGGCCCTCCATGGCTTTGCACCACCCAACCTCCTGACCCCTCTCCTTCCACTCAGCCGGCTCTGGCCTGCCCCATGCCCCCCCGACCGACTGGTCCCATCATTGGTGGAAGAGCCTTCAACCACTCTGCCTCCAACCTCTGGAATTCCATCCTCCAATCACTCCACTTCGCCCCCTCCTTAGGCTCCTTCAAAACCCGCCTCAAGACCTTTCCTTCGACCATGCCATCAGTCAGCCCCCTTCCCCTCGCCTCCCTTCTCCCTCCCTGACCCCAGCTCGGGTCTAAAATGCTGCACACTGTCCAGCGCCTTGGGACATCCTCCTGACGTGAAAGGCGCTATACAAATGTAATCTTGTTGCTGTTATTGAGCAGGTGAGCTAATTAAATCAATCTCAAACCAAGGATAATGACATTGGGCGTGATGGAGCCAAAAAGGGAGAAATATATTTTCTGAAAGAAAATCTTCAGGGGCCACCTATTTTGGAACAGATGAAATGATACTCAGAGACTCTCCCTCAGTTTGTATTTTTTTACCACGGTAATTTTCCCAACAAGAGGCTGACAGACATACCTTCCGATCCCTGAATCCCCTTCGTGGTTTCTTTTTCTTCCCTTCTGATTGTCCCTCTGCTGTTTTTGATTTCACAGCCTTCTCACTGTACTCTTCATCTTCCTCCTCCTCACTGGGGTCAGATCTGGATGGAATTTTTACGGAGGTGGGTGCTTCTGCATAGACTCTGTCAAGGAATGGAAGGAAAAGTTAGAAAATCTAACTTCAGAATATGGAGCACAGTTACGATATTCTATATTCACTTCCAAAACACCTTTGGAAAATGATAAACTGGAGACTAATGCACATTCCTTTAACCTCCAGACTTTTTTTTGCATGAAATGAAAAATAAAATATCACATTTTAGAGCAAATCTGAATTTCATATCTGCCACAGGTAGTTGATTATCTATTTGGGAAGAATGAATACAATTATAAAATATAATAAAAAAATTATAATTGACCTTCCACTATCAAAAGCTACATAATACATTTGCAAGAATCTGAATATGTATTTGAACAAAATAAGCCTGTTCCTTTTTGAGTTTTAAAAGTCAACTACCTGCATCTCATCTTACCCTGGAGGGCCACAGTGTCATGAGCCCATCAGTGAACTAGAAATAATGCACAATTTAATCTACAATTTTCCAAGAGGCACATGTGGCCTCCTAAATCAAAATTCAATCAATTTAATGAACCTCAGTGAAGCTTGGAGCATAGCAACTACTTTTACTTTCTGCTCTCAGGCAAATTAAAACTCATTTTATATCTCCGAAATAACTCCCACAGGCACCTGATTGTGCTCCTGAGAAAGTTTCAGTTTGGTATGGTAAGCTTTGCTGGCAGAGCAAACTCGGAATAATGAAGTTAAAAATAGCATGAGAAAGGTGAAGGTCAAACATCTTTTTAAAAGCTCATTTATCATCACTTTGGCACTTATTACTTATTACAAAGTCAGGAGATAGTTATTTGAATACAAGTATTCCTTTTTAACTTTGACTAATTCCTTATACCAGAACATGTAATCTCTTCATACACATCTCCGCAACAATAAAAGAATAATGATTTATGCAAATGGGTTACATACAAGTATTTATTCTTCTGCAATCAAACTAAGGATAGATCTCATGCCTACTTATTTATTAATAAATCAGTGGAGTCCTGCAGCTCAGGGTTATAGCAGTCACCTCACAAGCAAGAGACGTGGGCTTGATTACCGGCCAGCAAGAAAAGTTGGCCAAGTTTCCTTACTCCACATACCTCTGTTTACCTAGCAGTAACTAGGAATCTGGTTGTTAGTTGATTGGTGGATTGTTTTTCCAAGGGTAATTATTCGTTTCGAAAAAAAACGATTGTTTGTGGGATACTGCTGTGTGTGATTGGCTATCGCGTTTCACTCACAAAATATACAGTCATTTCACTTTACAGTATATTCTGTGAAGCGCTTTGAAACGTCGCGAAGATGTGATAAGGCGCTGTGTCAAATGCAAGGATTATTATTATTAAACCACTGCTCAATCTTCATGATTTTGGTGACAACTTGGCTCAGTTGGTAGTTATCTCCTCTCTAGGCCAGTAGGTTGTGGGTTCAAGTCTTGTGTTGGGAACATTGAATTCATGTCTAGGATGACACTCCATGGAAATACTAGAGGAAGACTGCATTGTCAGATGTTTCTTTAGGAAGAGATATTAAACCGAATTCCCATCTACCTGTTCAAGTGGATATTACCAATGACACTATCCAAAAAAGGGAAATTCTCCTGGTGTCCTAACCAATAAATGTCCAGTTAAATTGGTCAATCAACTCAGTTATTTAACTTCACGCTGTTTTGAGCGATACTGCTGAGCTCTGCATTTTGCCTAGAAATGTACAGCACAACATAAGCAAGGCTAAACTTACTCTTCAGAAAACTTGCACAATTAGCTTGTGGGAATAGCTACAAAGTAGTGAGCTCGAGGGGACTCTTACGCCCATGGTGCCTCGTGAGATGGAGCACCAATATTGTGAAATGGGACTTGTTTTTTGTCTGAAATTCTCCCATGCTACTGCATTTCGGTTTCAGTAAAAATAATAATAATAATCCTTGCATTTGATATAGCGCTTTTCACGTCGGGAGGACGTCCCAAAGCGCTTCACAGAACATACTGTAAAGTGAATTGACTGTATATTTGTGGGCGAACGCGGCAGCCAATTGCGCACAGCAATGTCCCACAAACAGTCGTAGATTGAAAGTGACCAATTTAATTATTGTTTTTGGTTTTTGGAGGGATTATTATTAGGCGTGTGGAGTAAGGAAGCTTGCCCAAGGTTTCGCCCTGCCTGGAATTGAACTCAGGTCTCTCACTTGCAAGGCGAGTGCTCTAACCACTGAGCTACAGGACTCCACCTTTATTTGTCATAAATATACTTTTATGACAAATAAAAAAGTTGCATTTTACAGAAAATTGCTGACAATAATACAAATACCAAATATATCAGAACTACATTCCAGAAGTTTAAACTCTTTCACCATCTATTTCACATTTTTAATCCTTTTAATGAACAACATGATTGTACAAAACTGGTCAGTACATGTGGAATTGAATAGCTGGTGTAAAACATGAAAATAGCATATAATCAAAGGTTCAGCTGGCTTCATAAATAATATGGGAAGTGCTCTTGTTATCTGAATTCAGACTGCATTGTAGCTTTGCAACACACTGCACAAATTAATCAGGGCTTTGTACAGAAATTCTTTCTTCCCAGTACAAATAAAACCATCTTGCAATCTGCTCGTTATCTATTCTGTAAACCAGGCCAATGTATTTCATCTTATTTCTCTGGATTCATTATGGTGTTTTGAGATTACACTTCATGCATTATCACCTCACTGATCAAGAAGCTTCACCACCCAAGTCCCAGTTAAAAAAAAATGTAGCTCTTAAAATGCAAGTCTATGAAACATAAAAAATATTTATTTGGCTCATTGATCCACCCACTCCAACAGATTTCACTGCTTTGGACATCAACTTCTTTTTCTATCCTTCTGGAGACAAGTATTTGCAGAACTTTCAGGATAAAGTTCTGTAAAGTGTCGGTATCCTTATCGTAATTAAGTAAAAAAAATTATCAAACCAGGATTAACAATAAGAAATAACTGAATCAGAAAAGGTAATTATCTCGGGGGTGGAGGGGGAGGGGAAGAGAAACATTAGGAATGTGGTATTCCCTGAACCCCACAGGCATTTTGAAAAATTTGAAAATATTAATCCATTCATCTCCTTCTCTGCACAGATTAAATTATCTCATCCGGCTTCCCATCATAGAAATAATTGGGTCCTGTGGAATGTTTGTTCTTAAATCTGTTTGTGCAAATTTACTTAATTGGTTAATAAAAAATTACTTTGATTTCCTTCCATTTCTTTTAATTCCATCTTCCATGCCCCTCTATTCCCTGCTGCCTTACGCATGAAACAAACTATATTACCTGTTCCATAATAAGCTGGCTGTGGCTGAAGCAGCTGTAACACCAATAAATGTTGACATCATCAACTTGCGCTGATTCCTGTTTGGGTATGTTGTCCAATAATATCGTCTGGAAAAGCTGCCAAGAGCTGCCATGGCAGGCAGCAGTCGAACACGAAACATCCTTCAGGAGAGAATCCAAAAGATAAATGTTAATTTCTTACGTTGTCTGCTCTCCACAGGGTTACCTGCTAACTTCTTCCTATGTCACTCAAAGTAGACAAGGGCATGCACAGGAAGCTATTGAAATTTACTCACAGCATTACTTGTAAGCACAGACCACCAATTTAGTCCGTCCTACTTCAATTGAGAATAAAAAACATCCTTGCATTTGATAGAGCGTCTTATCACATCTTCAAGATGTCTTAAAGCTCTTCACAGAATATACTTTAAAGTGAATTGACTGTATATTTTGTGGGTGAAATGTAACATTTTAGAAAAACATTATACATATAATTTGTCAATCTCAGTCAGAGCACCAGAATTGATTTCACAGCCACTGACCAGCAAAGGAAAAACCACCCAAGGTTCTGCTCATGATTTGGAGATCCAATGATTACATTTTTAGCAGATTTGAATCTGAACCAGAATTTCAGAAATGCAGAGTAAGACGTAATTTCCAAAATTGTACTGTTGGAACTCCAAATTGCTATGATAAGATGATAAGATGCAGGATTCCTTCTGCATTCTCCACAGGTGAGTTTCCATCTCGACCATGCTGTGAAAAAGTTTCATAAGACTGGATACAACTCCACACAAATGAGGAACCAAATGAGTTAATTTTATATACAACTCTTTCCTGTCGGTGAAGAACGTGTATACCTTTTAAAATCTTAAAATAAATTCAACACTGAAAAGGTTATGGTCATAATGAATTCACTATTTTTGAATAGGCTGGGGTCCAGAATATTTGTGCATTCCTGTGAAATCTACAAACAACCACCACAAANTTACATTTGTATAGCGCCTTTCATGTTGGGAGGAAGTCCCAATGCACTGGACAGTCAGGGATTTGGACCCGAGCAGAGGGTTAGCAGGAGGGTTGGAGGGCAGGGAGGGTAGGGGTAGGAAGGTGGCCGAAGATGCGGTCGAAGAGGAGGATATTGAGATGTACATTAAGGAGGCAACGGACGGAGCAAGGCAAAGGGACTGTGGGATGGAGTCCCAAAGGGTGGGGGCAGAGAGGCTGAAGGCCTGACTGATGGTGGGGTGGGCGGGGTGGGGGACATGGAGCAGGCCAGAACCTGCTAACACAGTGTTATAACTGCACACAGTTTCAATATACAAGTACAAGAATGCCAAGTTACACTTGTATGTGTAAATTGTGAAGCTTAAATACAAACATGATATGAATAGAACATTACAAAAGTAGTTAACTTTTATGTATTTTAATACTTAGCACAGTAATATCCCAGTCCTTACAGTATTGCCACAAACTGATTAACTTGCTCAATAAGTAATTTAAATAAATGTTAAAGCCCAGAGTGCATATTAATTGACAAAAGAAAACGTATGAGAATCTCATTGCGTTCTAGTTTCTCTAATGATCTTTTATTAATAACTGTGTGAACTATTACTTGATGACATATTAACTAAACCATCCAATGTGAAGCAACTGTAATGAGACCTACTGCACTGTTGCATGGATCCATTCTACAGAAAAATTATGGGCATTTTCTAGTACGTTTATGCTATATTAGTTCACAGTCGGTTGCCAGTGACCACCAATGTGCAAGACTTCTATCAGTATGAGTTAAACCAATAGCATACTTGAACACTGCTTCTTTATCATATGCAGTTATCAATAATATTAAATAATAGAATCAATGATGGAAAAAAGCTAAACGACACAGCAATAATTAACTACCTAAAGATTTAAACAGCATGTTGTAGATGTATACAGATAGAATTCTAATAAACATGGTTGGAAGCAAGCAGTGAAGCTTTATGTGATTCAGATGATAACCCAAGAATATAAGCCATCTGAATCCCAGAATTATTAAATAATATGCAAAAGCAAGGAATAACTGAATAATAATATAATAATCCTCACATTTCATATATTGTTTATTCTCAAAGTTCCTCACAAGATTTACTGTAAAATGTATTATAGGCGAGTGTGGCATCCAATTAGCACACCACAATGTCCCACAAACCACCACGGTGAATGACTAATTAATTTGAACAATCAATTTAAATGTTAGTGTCACAGATAAAACAGTCTACAATATAAGATGAACACAGTTCTAATGACAATCAAAAAGCGCTGAAATTATTTTGATTGAGGACTATATGTTTCGCCCACAAAATATAGAGTCAATTCACTTTACAGGATATTCTGTGAAGCGCTTTGAGACGTCTCGAAGGTGTGATATGACACTATATCAAATGCATGGATTATTATTATATTATGTGGGAATCGTATTTTAGGGTTCTTGCATTGAATTACAGACTGTCCAACACGGAAATAGCCCATTTTGCTGTGGGTCATCTTTTCCCTCCTTACCCCCTTGGCTCCACCCCAAGCCACTAGTTTAAAAAAAATTGCTTTTGCGGCCTAAGAGTAGCATTAGATACACAATACGTACCTCAGGCACTACCTTACGCCCCCAGTGAATGTCAACCTTCTGATCCTTCCGACATCAGAATATAACCGTCTCCCAGATCACAATCTGCAAACAGGAATGATACTGAACTTTAGCAGTTTATAGATAGCATAAAATAGACAGATTACAATCCTTTGAGAACACTGTGGTATAATAATAATCCTTGCATTTGATATAGTGCCTTATAACGTTTTCGAGGCGTCTCAAAGTGCTTCACAGAATATACTGTAAAGTGAATCGAGTGTATAATTATTATAGAATTATTATTATTATTATAGCTGGTAAAGAGGGGAGATTTTCATACCATGAGTACAGGCTGGATTTAAACCCATGTCTCAGGGCAGAAAGAACAATTATAAAACCTAGTAAACCAACTAATCCCTTATACAAAAAAAAATAAACATTCATTATTACGTGACTACTTCAAAGGCCTTTCAATTTTTGAGATCAAATAATTTCAGTTCTAATGAGAAATGTTTCCTATTTAGCTGCTGATTAATTTGCTGTAGATTTCTCGGAATTTCTATTTCTGTTCATTTATTTCTACACGTAAAAGAGACTTCAAAGTAGATATTTTTCATTTGCCTGAGAGTAGCATTAAATTAGATTAATTGCATTAAATGTTATCATCATCCTTTCCTCATTATATCACAAGTGCTGCTGCTGCTGTCTAACATATGCAAACCTAGTACTATGCCTGTCAAGTAAGTTTTCTTTTGGTTCTGAAACATTTTTAACTGACAAATTTGCTTTGATGAAGTCTCCCAATTTTTTTTAAAAAAAGGCTAGTACCGTATGCTAATATTTCTGGGTTCCTCATTATGACACCCCGTAGTAGCAAGCTCTGTGACACCTTGTGAAAAAGTGGCTCCAAAACCTCTTCAAAGCAAACGCGGCAGCTATTTAATTCTAAATGCACTTCAAAATACTTTTCAGTGTGTCGATCAATTATTCAGTTGTGCTGGCATAGTAATAAATAATTCTTGCAGTCGATATAGTACCTTCCACGCCAGTAGGCCAGGTCGAAAGTACCTTTCAGGATTTTACTGTAACATGTCGTGACTGGGTACGCAAACGCAGATACTCTGCGAAGCGCTTCGAGGTGTCTCAACGACACGATATGGCGCGACATCGAAGGCGAGGATTATTCTTACTGTCCTCACCCGGACTGAGTTCTTTTCCCCCCCGAAACAAGCGGCCCCGTTGCGCTAACCACAATGATCACCACCAGTCATTCGATCACCACCCAGTACTAATGTCATTTTTTTTTAAAAAAGGGAGGTGGGAGGGGGAGGAGGTCAGAAATAACATTGAACGTTGGACAACTTATACCGATTGGGTTGTCAACAAAAAAAAAGGAAATAAATGACCCCGATGAACGTTATTGGTTGACCCAACTATCGGAACCTCAGCTGCGAGGTGGGTCACGCACATTCCCTGACACGGGACCTTGTCTTTCTTATAAGCGTATCATATATGTATAGTAATAAAACATATATATATATATATATGTACACACACACACACGTTAGTATCGACAGTAAACCTCAGGAACTTTGTCAGCACCGTGTGGTGTGTGTGTGGGTGGGGGGAGGGCCGGGGCCGGGCCGGCGGCAGCCGCTCCCTGTGCCGCTCAGACACAGCTCCGCACAAACAGCCCAGAGTCCCAACTGCGGACACCGGCGCAGCACCGACACCCAAACCCGCTCGCGCTCTCTCTCGCGCTCTCGCTCTCTCCGCTCACTCACTCACTCACTCACTCACTCCGCTCGCTCGCGGCCTCCGGGCCGGGCAGCACGACTCACCGTGCGCTGCAGGACACACCCTCAGGGCCCGGGCAGGCACAGGGCCGAGCGGATAGCGGGGGTCCGGGGGGTGGGGTGTTGGGGGTCGGTGGGGGAGTTGGTGGCGGTGGTGGTGGTGGGGGGGACCAACGGCCGCTCCAGCCTCCGCGTCTCCAACCGTCACCCTGCCTGCGTCGTGACGTCGTGACGTCGGCACGCACACGCACAGCCCTGCCTCACTCCTTCCCCTCTCACCCCCCCCCACCCCCAGTGACAGTAGCAATGCTAACAGTAACAGCAATAATAACAACAATAGCAATAATAATCCTTGCATTTGATACGGCGTCTTACCACGTCTTCGAGACGTCCCGCAGTGCTTCACCGAATACACCGTAAAGTGAATTGACTGTACATGTGCGGTTGCATTTTTTTTAGTAGAAAAACATGCAAGTGGTGGTATTTGACATTCCTACTGTTTGCAACAGTTATTTATTCCGCTTCATCTCATTTGGACCTTTGTTTCACTGCTTTTGGAATGCACTGAATTGGAGCCTCGCGCCGCACAGTGCATAAGGTGTGGGTGGGGTTTTTAGTGTTCCTTCTCCCTCACTCATACGTTTGACATTCATAGGTCCTGGTCCTTTGCCACACTGTTGACATTTTTCCATGGGTAGTTGACGTGAATTTGTGGAATTCTCAAATCTGGTTTATATACTCTTAAACATAGGGATGGGTTTCTGCACATGTCAGACACCTGGCTGAGTAAAACAAAGTGACCTGAGAATGCACTTTGGTGTATGTTATGCTTTTAAATCGTGTCTCCTTGGAGCTGAGCTGGCTCCAAGGTGACTTGTCTGGCAATCGAATGTTGGAATAGAGCCAGCCCTCTGTGGGCCGTCTCGGTAGTCCGGATCCTGAGCCAGGCGGATCCGCAGTATTCCAGGGCACTGCTAATGACAGGACCGCCAGCGTGGCTCATCGGCAGGACCTGGAAGGGCAGAGCAGTCACTGGGGGCAGTGAGTCATCCCACTCAACATCCTGTTAACTCTGCAAGCCAAAGCCCTCATGAGTAGGGTGGTCCTAGATGGACAAGCAGCGGGAATGCTTGTCGGACAGCACGACTCACCGATTTTAGCTGGTTATTCTCCTGCAGTATCCCAACGCACACTTTGGGGTACCCAAACCTTAGAAAACTGTGTCTAATCCTTTTTGGAATTAGGTAAGTATAATGCATCCCTTCAGGTAGAAAGAGTGCATTCCATTCCAACATACTATCTCTGATTTCCATGTGTAGCTGCCAATCATTGGAATTCTCAGCTGGGTTTGGATATTCTTAAACATGGTGATGGGTTTCTGCATGTGTCAAGACACCGGCTGACCATATTATTTATTAAATTGTGTATTTATAAACAAATGATAATGCTTTGCAAAATATTTATTAAATTACAGCACTTTAAATAGATATATTGTAATTTGAACTTGATGTTTATCATAATACTGTTACATCAACATGAGAAACAAGAACCCTACATCAAAAACTCCTATTTCTGGTAAGTGGGAATGCCACAGCTAGTTCTTATTTTGATCTTTTGGAACAGTTTGTTAAAAGTTTCTGAAAGACAAAGTTACTGATTTTTTTAAAAAAATGGCAATTTGCTACCAGATCCTTTTAGGAAATAGTTACCTTTTGCTATCCTGTTGCAAAACTGTCTGTAACTCAAAGAGGAAACAGATGTTCAAAGTCCTCTTTATTGGTTGACTCTATGATTCATAGTTTCCAACAGCAGCATTATTTAGTACTGTTTGACATTTTGCACCTGGAAAGTGCACAAACAATTGATAAAAAGAAACCTGAAGATTCTTATTAAAACAACAAAATCAAAATTGCATTTGTAAGGAGCCTTTTGTATCGGGAGAACGCCTCATGCCTTTGCAATAAAATTTCTGCCCGTTTTATTAAAATTGCAAGGCTTCCCCCCGAAAAATACTGTTCAAGTCTCTGAGCATCGAGAATGAATCAGTCTCCAGCACTTGCCAGGTTTACCGAGCAATAAGTAGGAACGCAGTTGTTCATTGTTTGGCTGGTAGCTTTCCAGGGTTAATCCCTTAAAATAAATCGGTCACTCAATCCCTGACTCTTTATGGGATACTGCTGTGCGTAATTGACTGCCGCGTTCCATCTGCAAAACACACAGTCAATCCACTTTGCAATATAATTCCGTGAAGCCCTTTGAGGCGTCTCGGGAGACCTGACGAGGCGCTGTGTCGAATACCAGAAACAGGAGCTTTCGACGTAAGGTAAGGTTCGCCCGCCTCGTGTCACCCCCCAAGTTCAGATTACAGGACATCTTTGTTTAAAGTGGTGACATTTCCTTTCCTCTTGTAGACATCGACCGCTATTGCTATTAACAACAACTTGTTGTTAATAGCAATAATCAATGCAAGGATTATTATTGTTCCTGTTGCCTGGAAAGTGTGTGGGAGCTGTGGCCTGGGGAGGAGGAGGGGCGGTGATTGACAGGCTCGGACCCGCCCCCTCGGCGCGCTCGCCACGCCCACGGGCTGCGATCCTGGAGCTACCATTGGTCGAGCGGCCGAGTGACAGCGGATCGGTGCCGCCCCCTCCCATCCCGGGCCCCTCCCTCCCGCCCGCCCGCCCGCCCCGCCCCCGCAGCCGCTGCGGACACGCACAGACTCCCGGGGCTGTCTCCCTGCTCAGCCATGGCGACCGCGGCAAGGACGCTGCTCGCCTCCGTGATCAACAGCACCAGGACAGGGGCTCTGACGGCGGCTGGAGTCGGGGCAGGGAGCGGCTTCCCGGGGCTGGGGATCGGCAGGCACCGGCAGAGGACGGTGAGCTCCCGGGCGGGCGGGCGGGTGGGCGGGCGGGGGAGCAAGTTTCAAGGGTGGGAGGAGGAGGAGAGACAGACAGACAGACAGACGGAGGGAGAGAGAGAGGGAAGTGCTGTGTAGAGAGGAGGTAGAGACTCAAAAGGCGGGAAGGGTGCGGCTGCAGGAGGTGGGGCGGGGGGGGGTCTGTGTAGGGATTAGGGCCTGAGCTCTTCTTCCTCCTCCTTCCGGGCTTTGCACGGGGTGAATGACCCCCCACCGGGGAAGAAGGGAGGGAGGGAGGGAGATAGAGAGGGGTGGAGAGAGAGAGAGAGAGAGAGAGAGGGGGGTTGGGGATTCCCCCCCAAGAGACGCTGCTCTCAGTCCCCCCGGAATCCCCAGGAATTCCCCCCCCCTCCTCCCCACACACACACACACACACACACAGACAGACATCCGCGGGATTCCCAGTCCAGAGAGGTTGGTTGGGAATGTGGAGAGAGAGAGAGAGAGAGATTGTACATTGCAAACACAAGGTTGTAGATTGCAGCAAATTAAATGAATGCCTTGGGTGGGGGAGAGGGGGGGAGGGAGGGGAGGCCTCCCAGACTGTGTGTGTGTGTGGAGGGGAGGGGGGGGGGGGGTAGAGTAGATTGATGGGAAGATAAGGCGAGATGCTGTCAGAGAAGCAAACCACCGCCTGGTATTGCAATGGCCACGCAGTGACTGCGAGTAGTATTAGATTTCCCCCTTTGTTTTGTCTCTCCTTTGTATTTAATATTAAGGAAAAAGGAAACAGTGCAACTCGCGTCTGTGCAAAAGTTGGTGCTTTTCCTTCCCCCCTCCTCCACTCCCCCTCCACTCCCCACTACCCCCCACTCCCCACTACCCCCCACTCCCCACTACCCCCCACTCCCTGTTTGCGAAGCGTTTGGGGAGTCCGCGGGAGGAAGGATCGAGTTGCGCCCCGAGCCAGAAAGGGGGTTGGAAAACACTGGGAGGGAAAGGAAGGTTAGTCCAGGCTTTTCAGGGAATATCAGTAGGAAGGATATCACTGAAGACACGTTGAGAAAGAGGAGACACTCTCACCGAGGGAGAGGGAGGGAGGGAGAGAGGGGGAGAGAGAGAGAGAGAAAGAAAGCAGAAGCACTGATATTTACAGAGCGCAGTTTTTTAAAAAAAAATCTTAGGAATGAATGAATGGAATGAATGAATTGCCCTTAATCTGAGCCCCTGCGGCCGAGGTGGACCTGATGGATGTATCTGTGCGCAACAGATGCAAAGACATCGTGCACCGCAAAATCTGTCCGCAAATGTGGGCCGAGCATTTTGCAGGACTTTGTGCTGCGCGCGTGTGTGTGTGTGTGTGTCTGTGTCTGTGATCAATGCCAACTGTTTGCAGTCGGGAGAAGTTGCACAAGGATTTATTCTCCTGCCCCGTCCATCCGCTTCCTCCCCCTCGGCATTCCTGGCGAGTGAGGGCAATGTGTGCGAAGTTGACGTTGAAGCCTCTTTTCCCGAAACAGCTCCCAAAGTGCAGTGCAGTGGAGTACAGTGCAGTGGTGCGTGTTAAAAGTCGAGAGTTTGCACGCACCGGATGGATGTGAAACGGTGCAGTTTGATGGTTTGTGTGGATAACGTGCATCGCAGGACCCAAACACAGCACAGACATGATGTTGAACTAACTGTGTGGCTCTTTCATGCTCCATTCAGGTCAATGCTGAATTTAAGGGCTTTGGTGACTTTATTCTGTAAAGGGACGCGCCCGTAACCCTCAAGTACGGACAGCGCAGGTCTTGGGCTGATGATTAAATCGTTTTTTTTTTAAAAAAATAGTCTGAGTTTGCTCTGCAGGTGTTGGCGAGTCTTTTGAGCCTCGCCTGGCCTTTCGGAAGCAGATGTAAAGTGGAGTTCGGGTGCCTCCTTCAGAGAACTGTGGGAAATCAGTAAAGTGAACCGTAGGTGATTTTGCGCAGCTCCTAGTTTTCACCAAGTGTGCGCTCGGTAATGAAAATATCATCCTGTTAATTGGTAAGAATGTGCTTTCGTGCTTCTGATTCCCCACTTGGTGAGTTTTTACTTTCTGATGTGCCATCCTGTAGAATAGTTATGGTACAAGGGTATTAAGGCGAAAGAGAGAAAATAACCATATCACAATAGGAGGACATCTCAAAGCATTTCATAGGATACGCTGCAAGGTGGAGTGATTGTGTGTTTTGTGGGTGAACGTTTGTTACCAACTATTCTACTTGTAGTTCATATTGGGAGATTATAACCAGTTGAATGAACTGTGAATTGTAAATGTGAGCTGCATTACTGAATCATCAAGTGATTTTCACACACACACCCTCTCCCAACTCCCCTCCCACCACACACACACACATATCCAATCAGTGCCTTCATGAAAGTTGAATCTTATTTCAAGAAATTGCACAGTGTGATGTGAATAATTATGAACACTGCTCGAAGAAGACTACAATACTTACTTTAATGATCTATTTGTATGCAGTGATCTTGTATTGAATTTGCATTTTAAATAGTAATAGCAATTGGGCGGCAAAGCGATGATATTTCATTTTAACCTCTCTCTCCACTTCTTCCCATTTATGGGGAAATATAGGTATATTAATTTGACAAAATATAATTGACCTCTATTTTAATATTAATCCAATTCTTCATATTTTGGTGTACAATTATCATTGTTTATACATCAAAGAGAAGAACTGACTGCAATTATTACTGACATTTTCAAGCATCAGTCTTCGGGTATATCACGATTTCACCCACAAAATATACAGTCAATTCATTTAAAATATATTCTGTGAGGCGCTGTATCAAATGCAAGCATTATTATCATTATTCTGCTGCAGGGAAGCTCAGGATATTGATGCGACCTGGAGGGGGAAAATAAGGCAGAAACTAATGTGTGATAACATAGACTAATGCATATCCACTCAAATATTAATAAAGCATTGTACAGTGAATGTATAGAACAACATGTGGGAGCTGAATCGACATACAGTAATGACAGTAAGTTAAAATACATATGACTTTATAAAGTTAATTAACAGATACTGTAAAGACCTAGCGTGAACCATCACATAAGAATCCAGAGAGCTGACTTTGGGTATTGCAAATAACAGTTGTGGAATTTGTGCAGTACAATGGAACAAAATTTAAAGGTCCAGTCCCTGAATTTAATGATTTTGAATCGATTATCTATTGAACACAAATGCTATTCAAAAATGCTTCTGCTATATTAATCCCTATTTTGTGTTTCGGGTGATGAGGGATGCCAGGACTGGAGCAGAAATATTATTCACTGTGAGGATCCAGTATAAGTAATGCGCACAGCCAGAAGCTGACAATATCTCACTACTGTACCCCCCAATATGTCTTAAATTCAGCTCTAACAGTATCCAGATGTGTAAGATGGAAGGATGACAGATTTAGTGTCTGTTGGGCTAATATATATCATCCTATATGATATCACGCCTAATAATAATCTCTCCAAAAAACAAAACAATAATAAATTGGTCATTTTCAATCCACGACTGTTTGTGGGACTGCCGCATTTTGCCCACAAATATATGGTCAATTCACTTTACAGCATATTCTGTGAAGCGCTTTGGGAGGTCTAGAAGACGTGAAAAGCGCTGTATCAAATGCAAGGATAATCATTATTATCAATCTAGTGTGTTGAAATATAGCGTGCTGAGCCATCTCAAAGCGCTTCACAGAATTTTACTGATCTGTGACCATTAATCATATTGTAAATCTGGAGGGAGATGGGATAAACTGAGCAAAGATGTTTACTGAAAAGGTTTAGTACTGGCTGGTTGGTAATATCCATAAAAGAGCCAAACTCAAGTTGCAAATGTTTGTGCACTATGCTCTGAATTTATTTTCCCTGGCAATCGTACAATCATTTTGATTCATGTGTCATGATGTATAGTATTGAATAGCGTAAATTGTCACCACAACACTGCGCAGTCAGTGACCCCTTTTGATCAAGAGGTAATGGGATAACATTGTAACAGAGTCATCTTTTTTTTTAGCCCTTCTTGCAATTGAATATGGTGTTTTTAAGGCTGTTAAGTGATAATCTGTGATGAAATGAAAGGAATTATGGTGTGGAGATAACCCATTAAGATTGCTGCTGGAAAAACTGCAGTCAGTCAGGAATCTGGCAGAGGAGTCTGGTTCGGAGCTCTGAAGCCCTATATACTAAATAGAATTGTGATGGTTTGGAGTTCCAATGTATATTATCCCACATCAGGAAAAAAAGCCGTGCAAATTGAAAATATAAAATTGTAATGAAGACAGTTGTAGATCACTCATGATAATATTTTGTCTGTACTGCTATTTCTATTTCATGTCATTTCTCTGCAGAAATGCAATGCTCCCTAATTTAAATGATAATCATGTTTGTAGCAGAGCCACATTTTCTGTGACAGTCTTTTGAAATGTCATGAAGTTCTGGGAATTGTGATGCTGAGGGTTTGGTTGTAGCTTTTCTGCTCTGAGGAAATATCAAACAAAGGCTGGATGTTTCCTTGCAAGGAGGAAGATAAATCATAAGCTTTGGTTGCTCTTACATACCTGCTGATGGTTACATGCGGAATCTGCCAACATGTTGTGAACATGTCTTTTATTCTTGGCTGATGACACAATGCCTCAGAAATCCCACCTGTGGTAAGCACAGAGTACAGCATTGTCTTCACAAAACAATTTTTTTATGATCTTAAGAAGGACTAGTTTTGTGATTGAAACCTATTATGACTATGACACTCGGTTTCATATATGGGTACCAAATCTTGTGCATCTTTTCCAATACTGCACCCCAGTCATATTCAGAAATATTGAAGAACACATCAATAAACTTTATAATCAGTTTCATTTTTCCCATTTTCTTCTTTTAAAAAGAAGCGTGGGAGCATAGCATACATAAGTAATGAGTAATAAAAGTTAAGGTTAATGACCCCCATACTATAATAAGATCAATTATAATATGTGTATGCTTT